TGGACAATTGACTGCAACATCCTGACATGTTGCAACATGATAGATGAAAACCAAACACAGCACGGACAAGTGAGGTTTATGGTTTAAACCATAACTACGAATAGCTGAGTGGGAAAAACCATTCAGTCTATGACTTGTAATTCCGGGTCAGAGATAAAGGTCATTTCTGACTCAGACGATATCTCACACTTGACCTGACCTACAGACGTATCAACAATGGCTGCAAAAGCACCAACGCTGGGAGTTATAGCAGCCAGAAAAGTAGCTGCTTTCTGTTATTAGTCTGGTGTGATTACAATGTTAGCACCAGGACCGGAGGATATTTCCAGCTAATGTAGATAACTATCAGGCTTTTATTTGGAAATATACTGATATCAGCCTTACTTCTGCTCGACTTTATTCCCTCATAGATATTAGCAAATTAGGCACTGTGATGTAAACAATACAAAAATACTCCACCAACATGACTAGTACTAGTTGACTGATTGAATGAATGAAGGACTTAATCATCACACATTAACAGTGCTGTATAAACAAACAAAACCAAAATGCTATGTGCAATGGAAATAGAATTAGTGAATTCATCATATTGATTATGTAATCTTGTCTACTGATTACTGTCTACTGTCCTCTTCCTCTGCAAAGGTTTAATGGCTTCGGACTGGAGAATCAGCTCCACCTACTGTTTATCTCAATGCCTCGAACTCCTAATATTCCCTCAACAGTAGTGGGTGAAAACAGATTCATTCGCATTTCTTTTTCCGATTTACTTATTTGGTTAAATTTTGCACTGTATTTGGATGGAAACTTGACAATTGTCCAACATATAGTATATGTTCATTTACATGCTACACAAACACACAAGTATACATACTACTGCAGACTACTGCAGCCAAGATTAAAGTCTAAATAATTTAAACCACGTTCTCAAATAACTGACCCCTCTTCCAGACTAATATTTTAGGTGAATGGACGCTACTGTTTGTGCATCTAAATAAATAAATACAAAAGAAACACAGCACTTATGCTTAAAGAGATGATGTGCAATCATAGGTTATAATATCTAATATCTTCTGTATGGTGAAGAGCCACCATGAACCTTCAATAATCTGTCCCACATTATAGATTCAAACATCAGTCCCCAGCCCCTCATCCTGCACTCAGCAGATCAACATTTGCTTTGATGAGTACAACGTTTTCATTACTGATCAAAGTCAGCAGTGTTAGTCTCTTATTTTCTGCCATGATTCACCACATAAATATATACTGCAGCGCCTTTAGGATTCTTTTACAAAATGTTTTAAAAGATCATCTCAAAGCTAATAAATATGTTTAAACTGAACGGAAACGTAGCGCATTATCCAACCTTATTTTGAATCTGCATATAAATGAGGATGAGAGCTCAGGGACCAAATATTTCTTAAAACTATGAAACCTCACCCCAACAATAACAACCCCGCTCAGTACACGATATATTCTGTTAGTATAGACATTATGTTGTCATGTGGTGTATTATGTTTTTTTTCTCCTTTGCATTGCATCCCAAGTGAGTCCATTTTACACCAAGTGTTATTTCCAAAAATGTGAATACATCTTGTTGAGAAGAAGTCATTTGGGAAGAAAGACAAATTATGGTGTTAAATGACATAAAGGCAGTCATAATTCACGTTATCATCGTCACTTGATCTGGTTTTGTATCCACCAGTCTTTACACACAATCATGCCCGTACCTCCCATATTAATGGCTCCGCGAGGGCCCAGCTCACCCACTCTCATTTCCTGTTCTCTCTGAAAGAAGCGAAGAAGAGCCTTGAGATAAAAACTTAACTAAAGTACAAATCTTTAGCGACTAGCCTACGGTACAACACTCACACTGTAAAAGCATTGATTCTAAACCCACAGCTGAAGACAGCCGCATACATTGCCCACGGCTCTTTAGGAATCTAGTATCAATTTAAACTCTGGCAAGGCAGAAACATTTTCTATCTGAGCCTACATCAGATCAAATCGTCTGGAGGTGGGCAAGCAAATCTTAATAAAACAATAAGCCACATAAAATGGGCTTCAGGCTATTTTATTCACAAATGTATGTTTTTTTTAGAGTTAAAACATTTATCTTGTCAGCTTCTAGACTAAACACAAAGTAAAAGTTAAGTCAATAATCTTTACTACATTCACCCCATTCACACAAATGCCCTGACACACCAAGTCCACCTAAACAAAGACCTCACATCAACGTAGCTCAGCTGACCACCAGCATACAAGTATAACCTTCCCACCATGGCACTGTTCATCTATTTTGATGGTCTTGTTTTTGCACCGTTATTCCCAGGCCAAGGTCTTTACGTGTGAGGGAAGAAAAGCTGGACTACGTCTGATTCAAAGTGCTTATAAGATGATACGGACTATAGTTAATAAAGCTGCTGAATGACGACTGAGTTGGTGTGTCAAGGCCCAAACACAAAACGTGGAGATGCTTTATTGTCGTGTTCATTCATTAGGTAAACATTTCATTCACACAATCTTCTCTCTCTGTTTCACACATTATCTTGAAAATACACATAAATTAGATTAAACAATAATGGCTTTCACTGACCTGGATTGAGTCTGTTTTAGGATAAAATATTTTAATGAGAATGTCCAATGAAACTAAACAAGAATTAATCCAGATCATTGAAACCAACTGGACATGAAGGACCTAATAATATTCGTCATGAAACGTTAAGTCACTATAATGGGTCAATGTATTTTATCACTAATAAACCCTCTTATCACAAACAATAGTGATGAAATGCAGCTCTATGTGAAGGTAGAATTTATTAACATCAAGATCAGGTGTTATATAATATGTTGAATTACTTCAGATACTGTGATGCTCAACCTTTGTATACTTACCTGCAAAATCATCAATATGTTGCATTTATAATAAGAAAAGCTGTAAGTGAGATGAAACCCTACATCATTGTGGCACTAACATCAGTGGATGAAGCACTAGATGGCAGCAGATGGCATTTTATATATCACTCACAAACTACAGTAACACCACAAAGAGCCAGTCAGCATTCAATATAAAATGGTTATGAGACTCTTGCATCCCATAGTTTATTGTGACCATCAATGTGCTTTGTTTTTAAATTAAAGTGCTGTAGTAATATTTATAAAACAGTTTAAATTAACGTTAATTAAAATCATATTTTTCAAGTTGACAAAAGAAGCAAATGTAGAGTTCAGACTATTACTGTTAGGGAAGTAAAGTGTATTACTAGTACTCTTTAGTAAATATCAATCCACACCAACTGCATGACACAACAAACATACTCCTCCTTAAAATAGTGATAATTGTTGGTGTTATTTCATATTAGTCAACTAAGTGAAGAACTACTGATAGCTGGCGACCGTATGGACGGTGTGAAGTGGACGGATGGTCCTAGACGCAAGTGTGTGTGTGCTTGTGTTACGTGCATGTAAGGATGTAGACTCCAACGGGACCTCTAAACAGAGCAAAGGATTTGAAGAGAAAAGTTATAACATAGAAATCAACAACATATGACACTAACAGATATTTATACTGATGGTTAAGAACCTGGAATTCACTCAAACTTGATCAAATAAAAGTCTTTAAAGTCTATTTAATAGCTGATGCTCTTCTTCTTTTAACATTATACTTCTACTACTTTCTCATACATTAACCTCCATCTGCACTGACTGTTTCTATTCATATATCCAACTTCGTTCCTGTCGTTTATAATCAAAATTAACAGATAAAATGTGCCAATGCAACAGATCTACACTGGGACATTAGATTTGTGTTAACTATGGAAAATAAAGACAGATACAGACTCCTCAAACTTACAGGAAACAACTACAGCTGCTCTATAAAAAGGTGCACAGTTACGAACACTTACAGAACAGAGAGTCCCACGCCATGAATAACCTTCAGTAACAAAGTGCATAAAAGGTACTGTTCCACAGCTAATCGCTGATCTTTGATTATGAGCCTCATAAGCCTCACAGAGGTAATGTCTGATGTGGAGCCTATTGTGCTGAATTTCATTACACTGTATCAGACGGTGTGAAAACACTAAATGGGCTCATTGTGACGGGATGAGCATGTCGTCTGGAAAGACTTTAAAAGAAAAGGATCAAGAAGAGACAGTAAAGAAACAGTAAAAAAGTATTTCAGTTACAGATAATAGTAATAATATATTTCTAATAAATAAAAACTGTACAAGTGAAACAATACAGTGTTTGTGGTTAGTTGTGGGTGTTTGTCGTATCCCATGTGGAGTTTGACACAATGAACTTTAAGTATTAGAGCGATGCGTTACCATGGCAGCCTGACCACAACTATGAAAATACAGGAAAGTTATTACAAATACATCAAAAATACTGATTTTACAGGCATTATTTATAAAACTATGAGGAAACAGGAAATCCATGCAGAGCAGCACAGTTCAGTCGAGATGCTGCTCAAATGCAAACAACTGTTTTATTTAGAAAACTGAAGAAAGCTGATCAAAAACTAGGCTCTCTTTCAGCAGATCTTTATTGTGGCAACATACGCTTCCCAAGATTTGCCTCGATAAAAATAGCTTTAATCTCCCAGACCTGACTGAACCCATTCGGGCCAACGACTTCTGGGAAAAGTATCAAACTCAGCAGCTATTGTAATATGAAAGGCCGATACTTGAGGTAACTTACAGAAGATACTGGTGAAGTATGTACACTGTACAAGCAGCTGAGATCACTCTATGGTACATATATACTATGATACTGTTGGTATAACAAGCCAAATATGGTTAAAATGCTACATTATGTACATAAAATGAACTGCTGTTATGGTTGTGTATCCATTTGTAGAATAAATTAACACATTTTGGTTTCATTCTTGATTGTAGGTGTGTGTACGATACTATAATATGTACCAAAAGTACAAATGTCACTGGATAAGCTTTAATGTGTTGGACTGTATACAGTGAATATATTCCAGCTGTACTCACATTATCCAGGTAGTTTGGTTTGAAGCCGTCTGGGTGGCGTCTCAGGTTGTCCTGTTCTCTGTGTCTCATCATCTCCTCCTCTATCCTTCTCCGCTCCTCTTCATGCCTTCAGCCAGAGAGTAAAGAGAGAAAGAAGTCAAAAACAACTAACAAATAATAAATTAAACAAACATAACACCAAGCCTTTTATGACATTGATAACATGAGCTTAAAAATAACTGATTTGTGCTTAAGTCACTATAAACAGTAGGAATAATAACACTAAACAATACGTGTTCATTTGCTCAAGAGAGAAAACACACCTCATCTCTATCTGCTTTCGTCTCTGCAGCTCCTGGTTGCGGAGCTCCTCCAGCCTCCTCAGCTCCTCCTGACGTCTCATTAGATCTGGAAGACCAGAGGAAGACATGAGTATGGAGGAACCAGCAGACAGACGGATATATATAAGGAATAATAAATGAAAGCAGTATTACCTACAACTCACAGTGATCATTCTTTAAATCACATTGAACAAAACACCAAATCACTACATTTATTTACCTCAACAGGCCTTTTACTTCAGACAAGCTAAAACTGAATGGAGGTTTTATTTCCAATCAAGATTTTGATGTAAGAAAATAAACATCAAGTGTCACTGCTGATATTGAAAGCAGCTACAGGGCAGCTTATGGTAAGAGTTATAATTTTATAATTATTTCCCACCTGAGAACATGTGAGATACCTCATACAGTACTGAGAATAAAGCAGCACAAACAATCTTCTTCTCTACACAAGCAATAAGTTAAGCAGTCAACACACACACAAGCACACTACAACCACACACACACACACACATTAAAAGCCACAGCCCCTACCTTGTCTCATTAACATGAGCTGATGTTCATGTTTGGCTGACTCCAGCTCAGCCTCCAGTTTCTCTTTGGCCTCTTTAATGTTCTTGTCCACATGCTCTCTCTGCTGTTCAGTCCCATCGTCAGAAGAGACTTTCCAGCGCGGCGAGCAGTGATTCAGAGAGCAGACGTGCCCGCTTAGTGCCAAAAGTCTGGGCGCCATCCTTGCGGTCTCGTCCTGCCGGTATGGCAGGAAAAGACGATAAAACTAGACGTACCAGAACGGACCACTCCGGTGTTCCTCTAGCCCTATACTCGAAAATGCACAAAAAGCACTGTTTTGCATAACAAATCATGTTAACAACAACACTTACTTTATCAGGTGGACCCTTCTGGAAGTCTTACTGCAGTAGTCTTTTCGGCAGTCCGTCCCTCATCACTCTCAAAGTGCCTGCAAGGCCTCCACAATCGGCTGGACAAGGGTGTCGC